ATGCAGAATGACAACACAACATGAAATTAGAGCTCAAACTCAATTTAAAATACAGGAGTACCTAATTAGACAATATTACAGACCTGTTCAAAAGCAGGAAAAGATATCCAATCAGGAAAATTATCACCACATATTTTCTTCAAATCATCTCTGTTAAGCGACCCGAGAAGTTTTATATCAACTGCCTGCAAACAGAAATTCGAGTTTGCATTTAACTTTCCAAATTCAATGCACCTCGCAGTATTTTCAAGCAACTTCAACGGAACAAATAGTAAAGAGAGAGAAAGGAAAACGACAGGTATCTCAATCAAAATTAACGAACCTTAGCAACTCTTTTGGTGCTTCGGTACTGCATCATGTGTTTCCATCCAGCCATCAACCCGATTCCTAAGATGATCCCGAAAAATATCCCTGAAATCAGCCCCATGTCCCCCGATTCCGAGCACAACTAAACCTAATCCACCCAAAAAAAAAAAAGGAAAACACAGACAAACAAATCAGAAAAAAATAAAATCAAACAGCGATGCATTACGTCCATGAATTGCTATTGTTATTGAATGGAGAGGCTGAGGAGAGGAATTTACAGTGAAGAAATTAGATATCAAAGAAATGGAGGTAGAATCAGTTATGATTGTTTTACGCTAAGATAATAATACTGATGCTGGAATACCCATGAGAGTTTGTTTGTTCTCTCTCTTTTGAAAGTAACGTGTTCCTTTCTTTCCTGAGTGGGGAGACCAAGATGCGAGTATTTAATATCACTCCACGAGAAAAAGAAACACCAATGGAAAAGTAGAGGGAGGGCCAGGTCTGGCGGAGGAAGGAGAGCGGGAGACAAAGCATTGATCTTCTTTATTTAATCTATAACGACCATAACATTCAATTGCCTGCTTTTATTGCACTCCTTCTCCCTCCATAATCCTGTACGTTTTTTTTGGACTTGTTTGGAAATATCTAATAAGATATAGGGATTTTCTACTTCACCCTTGTATTTTATTTTTATTTTATTTTTTGATGGTTTTTGGAAATACTTTTAAATATTATTTTATATTTAAAATTATTTATATATGTGTGTAAATTGTCTTAATGTGTGTCAAAAATAAATTTTTAAATATAAAAAATATATCTTTAAATAAATAACATTTTAAAAAACAACAATAAATATGAGCAAAGTAGCTTTTTAGATTAGGATTGTAGTTTGCCTGGCAACTTCTAGCTTTGTTACGATTGGTGCAGGAGCGGAGGTTGGGGGGCTGACAGGGGCTCGAGTTCTTAAAAAAAAAAAAACAATTAAAATCTAAGTTTTGACCTCTCCTAGTTGTTTTTTTCTAATTTTGGGCCCCTTCTAAATTATTTTCTTGGTTACACCCCTGGATCGGGTACGTAATTGTTACTAACCTGCTCTCTATGGTATATGAATGAAGGTTTTTCACCGAATCCTATGTGATATTAATAATATGTTTCTATTATTGTATTTTAAATTTATTTTCCAATTTAAGATGATAATATTTAAGCCAATATGTATCAAATTAAATAAGTTTCTTGATTAGATTAGAAACAAATCGTCCATATTAAAAATAGAGGATTGGTAGGAGGGTATCTTCTTATAATCCGTTTTCTTCTTCTTTAAGCTCGACTTATCAAATATAATTATTCACTAGCTATTGGTCAAATCAATACAACCTAGAAAACTTAAAAAATAATAATTTAAAATAAAAAAATATATATTTTTAAAAACATGGTTTAATCACGTAAACAAACAAATAAGAATTTCAAGAAAAAAAATACTTGCTATGATGTTTGTGATCATAACACATAAAATTTTTAAAATAATTTTATGTTTAAAAATATATTAAAATAATTTATTTTATATTTTTTTATATTAGTATATTGAAAGTATAAAAAACACTAAAAAATATCAATTTAATGAATTTTTAAATTAAAAATAATTTTAAAAAACATCAAAAGCATAAATAAAAACTCTCTCAAACACCTGTAGACAGGGAATATCATTTATTTACTGGATAAGGGCTGGATTTATGGACGGGCCTGCAGGTTTAGTCGCGTTGAAGGTGGTGGAAAGGAACAAAAAGAATAAAATCCGAAGGTAGCGTGCTTGGGACCGGGCAAAAAGTAATGGACTCTAGGTTCAGCTTGTTTGTATCCCTGGAGACGTGGTTCTATGATTTCTTTTGTGGGTGTGCACGCGCGCGTGTGCGTGTGTGTGTGAAAACAGAAGAAATGGCACCCGGCATCGTGTTAAAACCATTTTGAAATACAGACACAAAACACAATCTATCCTGCCCCATGAAAGAGACAGCTAGCTATACATGGAATGGAACCATACGGATTGAAGCTTCTGCACTCGTCTCTTAAATCTAAGTGCTGTCATGCTATGTCTTGTCCAGTCAAAACTTTCAAAAAGTTTTCAACAAAACCAGTAGGTGTAGACTGTGTAGTTATTAAATTTGATTCGGACAACAAGAATTGAATCCAGAGTTGGAGACGTTAATTTATTTTTATAAAAAAAATAAAAATGAATTCCTCTCAATCTCTCGCAAATTGATTATCTATTTTCTGGTTCAGGTATTGCCATCGTTGAGTGAGAAGCATGATGAGTTTATATTTTTATTACAAGTTAATTAAACTTTTTTATAATAGTTTATTCACGTAGATCATTTATATTTTTATTATAAGTTAATTAACTTTTTTTTTGGTTTTTTATATAAAAATTATAAATATAAATAAAAAACTTATACATGAATTTAGTTAACTAGATAAAAAATGATCCACCTGAATAAAATAGAAACAATTGATAATAATTAAAAGTAAAACTAAAAAGAATAAGAGATAAATATAAACTAAAAAATAAATATAAATCAAATATTTAATCTTGTAATGAGATATATAATTGATTATGTTTATTTAATTTATTTTTTAAAATTATTTTTTATTCAATTAAATAGTCATAGAAATAAATATACATAAAATTTATTAAATATAATAAAAAAATATTATACAGTGTTGCATGTATTATCTGTGTGTGTGTATGAAAGTAGAGTTGATGTACATAAAAAAAAAAAAATAGATGAATCGTGGTGATATTTTCAAAAACTAAATACATGAAAAATAGTTATAAGAAAAAAATTCTATTAAAAAAAACAAAATAAAAAATTATAGAGGAGGGGAGTTAATTGAAACATGTGTTAAAAAATATATTTTTAAGAAAACATGTGTTAAAAGAAGGTATCAATTAAAATAAAATCAAAATATGAGATTAAAAAAATAAAAAAAAAGGACAATAATAACCTAGCTATCACAAGCGTGATTTAATGAAATAAAAAAAAAACAAAATGATTCGAGTTATACTCTCAACTAGACTTAATAAATTGATTTTATTTTAATTAAACAACAAAATATAACATTAGTATATTGATATATTTTAAGAATAAAAACATCACAATAACTTGGATAAACAAGCATTTAAAAGTACAAGACCAAATAAAAATCAACAAAGAAACCACCTCGAATCAATTGAAAGTAATATGATAGATTTATAACCTAAACAATAAAGAGTGAGCCACCCTGGGCTAACTCATAAAACTCATGGGTCAAGTACTGAGATGTAAATAATATGGTATAAAAAAATTTAAAAACCCACAAAATCAATAATTTTAAAAAATAATATCAAACAATAAAATTAAAAAACAAAACAAGCTGCAAAAAACATTGACTTGTATTGACTTCTCAAGCTTGTCACATGGGTTATTGGATCATAAGCATCATATATGGAAAACCATAGAGGTCTTGGCAAGTTAAGCATCGAATGATGAAATCAAGAAAAAATATTAATTACACAGTATTTAAAATTAAAAAAAATATATAACTAAAAAAAATAATTGAAAAAAAACCCCTAGAAAGCAACCCATAAATCTTTATTGGAATGTTAAATTGAAAAAAAAAACTTTAATTAAAGAAAAAAAAGACTAAATCAAAACACAGTAATACACCATAAATTTGGATTGAATGATAAATTTGAAAATCAACAAAAATTTTACAAAATAATTATAAAAAAAATTACAAATCAAAATAATAAATACTAATTTAAAAAAACATGATAAATTGAGATTGAAAGACCAATTTTTTTAAAAAATTGTATTTTTCTTATGTAAAAGAATCAATAATAAAAATTAAAAATTAAAAAAATAATGATTGAAATTAAAATATTAAAAAAAGAGAGGATTAACCTACAGTGTTATGGAAAAAATAGAGAAAATAAGATAAAAAACCTCATGAATGATAAACTATTCTGTTATTATTTGTATATGCCAACCAGAAAAAGAAACATGATAATATTTTTAATGGCATGATAACATAATAGATTTGACTACTAAGAGATGCTATACACTTGGAAGAATAAACAACATATATCAATAAATTTTTATATTTAAATACAAATCAATGATGAAGTTGCCCTCCATAGTTTTAGAGTTGAAAAAATCGACTCATGCGAAAGGATAAAAAAATTATCCGAGACATGATTTTTTTTTTAATTTTAAAAATAAAGATATCATTTCATTATATTTTAAAAAAATATAAAAACCATCAATCAGCAAAATCATCTTTTATTATTATTTGGAAATAATCTAATTATTTTACTATTTAGAAAATGTGGAAAAATTCACATACTCCATATATTATTTTTGTTGATGAATTGACTATGAAAAAAATCAAATTACCCCAATATTATATTTTTTTTTTCAAAATATAAAAAAATAATAATTTAATTGTTACATCAAATAGTAATGAACATGGATTTTGGATTAAAATGGAATTATTTATAACATAGAATTTTAAAAATTACTTGAATTTTCCTATAATAAAAAATAGACTGAAAACAAAGTACATGTTTGATCTTTTCATTTCAGCTTATAAAAATTACAAAGTACATCCGAATTTTTTTCAATTCACGAATAAAATAATTCATGAAAAAACCTCACTTCAAATCAACACCCAAACATAATAAAAAATCCCCGTTACATATGTATCCAATTACCAATCCAACACCAAACAACTCAAAAAATACCACCCCTATCCCCACCATTGACTGCCAGCAAAGCAAATAAACTCACACCCGCAATCACTTGCACGCTGGCCCCGTTTTTAAATCCACTATTTCCTGCCCCCCCTCCCTCGGCCGGAATAGTGATCGGCGGATAAGCTGAGTCGGGACCTGGAGGCTCCCTGTACGGTGGAGGGGGCGGCTGATTAAGACTGGGAGGCAATCCAAGGCCACGACTAACGTTGATATCAAAGGCCAATCCATGCTGGCATTGAATGCCATCACTAGCATCAGAGAAGAAATAATTCGGACCTTGAATAGTCAACGGTACAATCATGGTCAACGCTTGATTAAAAACCATGTTGCCTCCATTGTAGACGAAGGTATCGTTATAGGAGGAGTCATCGATTGAGCAGTTTTTGAATGTTGTCAGATTGTAGGTCTAGATCACCGTCTGATTTGAGCTCGTTTTGAAAACTGAAAAAGAATCAATTTAACAAACACTTGGAAAAAGTTCACGCGCGCCTTCACATTTGGAAATTCGTAGCTTACTAAGATAGTCGCCGAGATTGAAGGTTTGGGAGGCAGCCCAAGAGGAATAGTTAGTGGCAGCGGCGTTGGTGGTGGAATTGAAGAACCAGCCGGCATTATCACCAACGGTGTGGTTGATGTATTTAGTGGGAGGAGCCTGTGTTGTGGCGGGGGGGGGGGGGGCGGCCATAGTGATTAGATGCAGAAAGGTAGCTCCGGTCATGGCCGTTGGCTGCTGTACGATGAATAATTTACTTGCCTGGGGTAGAGTACTAGGGTGCAAGTGGACAAGGTATGAATAAAGGACTCGGAGTGTACCGAGTCAACAAAGCTTAAATACTGAAGAGCGAGTCTGGTAGAGAAGGAAAGTGGTGGGTTTTAGGGATCGTGATTTCACCTGAATATGAACGGAACGGATGATGCCGATATTATCTGAATTGATGAATATTTTTTTAGGTTTAATGGATAATAGATTGAGTATTGTTATTGTCAAATTAAACTAGAAATCAGCCCGAGTAACCTAAAATATAAATTCATATCATATAAATATATTTATTGAGTTTTTAATTTTTTTAATACAATATATACATATGCTAAGAAAATCGAGGACCATCTCTAATCTCAACAAATCATTCTTTGTTCTCCAATGATACTATTTAGGTTTTCTAGCCCAAATATCCAAGGCCTAGAATTTAGACCCAAAAGCCCATGTTTTCACTCCATGATTCACCTAGGACCAGAAACCCCTGAATCTAATTCGACAACCCATCTCTCCCTAGCCCGAAACAAGGAAGTTCTTGCCTCTTGGTCTTTTATACTTCCCTGCGTTCTCTCTCCCTGTTTTAATATTATTATTACATTATTACATCCTCGACAGGAGTAAAAATTTATTTCGCTTCACGTAAAAGGTAAGCAAAGAGAACAAAGATTTTTTGGCTCAAATAAAAAAGAAAAGAAAAGAAAAGGAAAAAGCTCAAAAGAAAATAATTGTTAAGTCGTTAGTTAATTAATTAGTTAAACCACCCCTTTGCCTTGCGTTGGTTTTTGACTGGGCTTGCTAAGTCCACCTTGTCTCGCGCGCTCAATTCGGCTCCCCTCTCGTCTTCTCAGATCATTCTCTCTTTAATTTTCATTCTCTCTTATTTCCTTTTAAAAATAATAATTAAATTACTACCAGTATACTTCTCCCAAATCGAACCAGACCGATTCTTTTCTCAAAGGTAAGATCGATTTCTTATCACATTTTCAGCTTCCTCTCTGTTATTTCAGTAACATTTGCGATTTTTCTCTGATCTGATCTGAGCTTGCTTATTTATTTATTTTACATCTCTTTGCTGGATTTTGATATTATTTGTTATGTGTGTGTGTAAGAGAGAGTTGTTTGATCGATTAAATGGTGATTAAAGAGATCCTGAGGTGATTATTCAAGTGAAAAAGCAGATTCGTGTGTAAATACAATTTACTGAAATAAATGTATGTGATTTTGAAGTTTAGATCCCGCTGAATTTTAAATATTAGAAAGCATTTGAGCTAAATTTTTTGCAATTTACGTTAGCTAACTTCGCACTGTAGTATTTGTATTGTCTAGCATTGGTTTCATGGATTGAAGTGGTATTCAATTTTGAATTTTCTTCTTTCTGGTTAATAGGATCGCTTGCGGTGTGCAAGTGTGTTTTATTTAAAAGAAGTGTACAATGGAAGAAGAAGAAGAAAAGGAGTTTGGACAAAGTCTTAATATTCGGGAAGTAGATGGTGCTGTAAAAGAAGATAGTGTAGGAGAATCTCGTCAAGGGAATGTAAATGTGCTTAGTGGTGGTCAAGAGGAGATAGAACATGAAAATCCAGTTTATGATAGGCTTGATTCTATAGATATTGAGGATGATGACGATGATCAGTTTGAACTTGTGTCCTTAAAAGAACAAGAAAGGGGTCTTGGTGAGTTTGCGGTTGGTAGTATTGATTCAAACCGACCTTCGGATTCAGAGAGTGAGAGATTCTCGTTTGATAGGTTTGGAGAAGTCTCTTCGAATTCATACAGTAATTATGGTGCTGAATGTGATTCTTCTCCTACCATGGAGATTCAACATGATCGCTCTGTATTGAGCACTGGGCCTGAGAGACAATCTGGTCATGCAATTAAGCAGTCACACTCATCAACCAGTCTAGATTCTGGTTTCTTTATGGATGGATTCTCTCCAACCAGTTCACCGCAAAAGGCTAAGCCAAAAGTTGCAATGCCAAATGTGTCCCCAGAGTTATTGCATTTGGTGGATTCAGCTATAATGGGAAAGCCTGAAAGCATGGACAAGCTGAAGAACATTGTCAGTGGAGTTGAGAGTTTTGGAAGTGGAGAGGAAGCTGAGGGCATTGCTTACTTGGTTGTTGATTCCCTTCTGGCTACAATGGGTGGAGTTGAAAGCTTTGAGGATGAGGATCATAACCCTCCTAGTGTGATGCTGAACTCCCGGGCAGCCATTGTGGCAGCTGAGCTTATTCCTTGCCTTCCTTGGGTAGGTGACAGTGAGATTTTCATGTCCCCTAGGACACGAATGGTTAGGGGGTTGCTCGCTATATTGCGGGCTTGCACAAGGAACAGAGCTATGTGTTCTATGGCTGGTTTGTTGGGAGTACTTTTGGGGACAGCAGAGAAAATATTTGTTCAAGCTGGTGGGTTAACAGAACAGATGGGATGGGATGGGACTCCTTTATGCTACTGTATCCAACACTTAGCGGGGCATTCACTAAATGTTGTTGATTTGCATAGATGGTTACAAGTAATTACGAGAACGCTTACTACTTCATGGGCATCTCGCTTAATGCTAGCGTTGGAGAAGGCAATTGGTGGAAAGGAGTCAAAGGGACCATCATCTACTTTTGAGTTTGATGGTGAAAGCTCAGGTTTACTTGGTCCAGGAGAGAGTCGCTGGCCATTTACCAATGGATTTGCTTTTGCAACATGGATCTATATTGAATCATTTGCAGACACGTTGAACACAGCTACTGTTGCGGCTGCAATTGCTGCTGCTGCAGCAGCCAAGTCAGGAAAATCATCTGCCATGTCAGCTGCAGCTGCTGCCAGTGCACTTGCTGGTGAAGGGACAGCCCACATGCCTAGATTGTTCAGTTTCTTATCTGCTGATAATCAGGGCATAGAGGCTTACTTTCATGCTCAGTTTTTGGTTGTTGAAAGTGGTAGCGGAAAGGGAAAGAAGGCATCTTTGCATTTCACTCATGCATTCAAGCCACAATGCTGGTACTTTATTGGTTTGGAGCATATTTACAAGCAGGGACTGATTGGGAAAACAGAGAGTGAACTGAGATTGTATATTGATGGATCCTTGTATGAAACTCGTCCTTTTGAGTTCCCTCGGATTTCAAAGCCACTAGCATTTTGCTGCATTGGGACAAACCCTCCTCCTACAATGGCTGGTTTACAACGACGTCGTAGGCAGTGTCCTTTGTTTGCTGAGATGGGGCCTGTTTATATCTTTAAGGAGCCAATCGGCCCAGAAAGGATGACACGCTTAGCTTCTAGAGGAGGGGATGTGCTTCCTCATTTTGGTAATGCTGCTGGGCTTCCTTGGCGAGCTACAAATGACCAAGTTCGAACTATGGCAGAGGAAAGTTCACTTTTGGATGCAGATATTGGAGGGTGCATTCACCTTCTTTATCACCCCAGTTTGCTCAATGGGCGTTTCTGTCCCGATGTTTCTCCTTCTGGTGCTGCAGGTATGTACATTTTGAAATTATTTCTTTTCCCTTTTCATCTAGTTTTGCTCTGTACATGCCATGGTGCCTGTTGCATCATTATTTGTAAGAGGACTTAAATCTCTGAAGATGCACGCCCAACCCCCCCACACCCCCCACCCTAAAGAGCTTCTCTCTCTCTCCACTCATTTTTTTGACCAATTGTTATGTTTCACTATAACAAATAACTGAATGAGGAGAGTTAGAAGATTGTTATTTTCTTATCTCCCTCCTCTCTCTCTTGTTATTCTTATCATCTAACCAGTTAAACCCAGTTTAATTGCCTCCTATCTGGTTCACTATTTTATTCCTAGATTCGGTCCTAAATCACCTGACAATAAGTATTATGAATTTTATTTAGCTGAGGGCTACAACATCAATTTTACAGAAACCTGTGATGTCTTCTTGTGTATGGCTGAGGCATCCCTTTTTTATGATACCCTGTATAATCTAGTCTCATATATGTTACTTCTTAAATTTTCTATTTGTGTCCATTAAGGTATTCTCCGACGGCCAGCTGAGGTTCTTGGACAAGTCCATGTTGCTACACGAATGCGACCGGTGGAGGCTTTGTGGGCATTGGCTTATGGAGGCCCCATTGCCCTACTTCCTCTATCAGTAAGCAATGTGCATAAAGATAGTCTAGAACCAGTACAAGGAAATCTTCCCATAACCTTGGCCACAGCTACTCTGGCTGCTCCTGTATTCCGGATAATTTCCATAGCTATTCAACACCCTTGGAACAATGAAGAGTTTTGTCATACCAGAGGTCCTGAGGTTCTCTCAAAAATCTTAAATTATCTTCTCCAAACTTTGTCCTCATTGGATGCTGGGAATCACAATGGAGTTGGAGATGAGGAACTTGTTGCTGCCATTGTCTCCTTGTGCCAGTCCCAGAAACATAACCATGCACTCAAAGTGCAGCTTTTCACTTCACTGTTACTGGATCTGAGAATTTGGAGTTTATGCGACTATGGATTGCAAAAGAAGCTACTGTCCTCATTAGCAGACATGGTTTTCTTAGAGTCATCAGTAATGCGAGATGCCAATGCTATTCAGATGCTGCTTGATGGCTGCAGAAGATGTTATTGGACAGTTCGTGAGAAGGATTCTGTGAATGCTTTTTTGTTGAATGAGGCAACACGTCCGGTGGGTGAATTGAATGCGTTGGTTGATGAGCTCTTAGTGATCATAGAACTTCTAATAGGAGCGGCATCTCCTGCGGTGGCTGCAGATGACCTCCGTTGTTTACTTGGGTTCTTGGTTGATTGCCCTCAACCTAATCAGGTAGAGTTACTATATTGAACATTGTTTTCTGTTCATGTTCATATATGTATCGGTTGCTTCAGCAATCTGTGTTTACCCATAATTAACTTGCATGATTTTGTTATGTTTCTCTCTGTTTTTTTAACCTCCTATTCTAGAGCAATAATCATTGTTATTGGCTTGCCATGTGGGTTTTTTGTGATCTTTTCCTGCATTTTTTTTAAAAATAAGATTCATATATCCATAATCTCGCTGTATAGACATCATATATTATATGGCCCCTTTTAATATTTCATGGCATTCTCTATACTGGCCACTTGTTTATAAATCTATCCCAAATGACTCCTGCA